TTTGAGTTAACAGATGTTGTAGTTAGGACTCAGAATGAGTATCTCAGATATTCAGTAGTGTAACTGCAACCAGAACTTGGCCTGTTATTTCTAACAGAAGTTGTCTAGGAGCCATACAGGTGGCTATCCCAGTAACTGCAGGCTAATGTTCTGTGGACAATTCAGCTAACAGCATGAGCAGTAAATCAGTTTAAGTGCTGATATTTGTGTCACTACTGTAGTTCTCAGAGTCAGCAACCTTCGGAACAGAGCAAGAGGGCTCCCATAGTCTGAGCTGAAAAATGGGTTCCTACCCAATTCAGCTTCCTAAAGCAGTGGCAATATAGGGGAGTAAAAATGAGCAACAAGTGTCAATTGGTAGGATAGTTGCTGGGCGACAATGGAGAAGAAAAGAGGACCTCCCATTTTTGGCAGTGGAAAGGGGCTAAGTAGTTATATGTCTAATGGGAAGCTGCACCTTCAGAGCTTTCCGTATTTGATACAAGTCTTCAGGACTTTCTTCAAATGCTATGGCACAGAACATGTATTGCCTTAGTCATACATAGACATTTGTGATTCAGTACATCCTTGCATCTGAATCCTCTTAGCCCTTACATGACTAGGGAAGGAAGGACTCCAGAATTTGCTAGTAGAATGAACCAGCCTATGCATCACAGCAGGATGTAGTCAAAGAAGGTGTTTAGTAGGTCACTTGTACTTATATGCTGCTGTCACAGCAAATGCAGGCCAGGCACGTTGTGCCAGCTGGGGCTTAATGGCCCATAATCCTTAGAAGGTTCACTGAGCTGATACTGAACTGTCATGCACATTCGCTCTTTTAGCCTGTGTTGAACACACCTGCTTTGTCTGGCAGAATTCCTCAAGCAGAAGATGCTCTGGGAAATGTTCTTCCTCAGGGCAGGCAGTATTTAGCACTTAATTTTTTATGTAACCAGAAACTCTCTGTCTCAGTTTCTGTTTTAAAGTCATACCCTGTCTTAGACCTGACACTAGCCTCACTTGTTGCTTGTACTAGAAAAATGAATCTCAGATCACTTTAAGTTTCCTGTACTATTATTTTGTGTCCTGTGTCTTGAAGCAATCTGAGAGTAATGCTGTAAGTTCAGAAGTATTTCATCTGCTTAGCTTTCTTAATAAACACAACAGCATTTCTAGGTGGTGAGAGTGATATATAGCTCAGCTTGATTTATTACTTCATAAGTGCTGGCAGTGTCTTTAATTCAGTATATGTCAGTGATAAACACAGTGCCTGTTCTGAGAGACAGCCTCACTTTATGATCCTGATACCAAATCCATGTGGGTAGATCTTTATTCTGTCCAGAAATACAGTAAAACTAGCAGAGATCTGCAGGGGCCAGTGTGATTGCAGCCTGGTGCCTGGAAGATAGGTGGGCAGAGATCAGCCCTGCATCACCCTGCCAGTCATTTCGTAATTGGTTTGGCCAAGTGTCTGGATTTTGTGTAGACCGAAGCTCCCACCCCAGCAAACCTTTGCCCATGCTCAGGGTGAGCGGGCCAGAGACCCACAGGAGGGCTGCCCTGAGGGCAGCTGTGGGGATCCCACCAGCCCTCCTCATCCCAATTCCATGGTAAGAAGTCAAATCCTCCACTACCAGACTCACTTCTGAAACATTCCTAGGAGATCTCTGCCAAGGCCATCCATCTCATGACTGGAATTACCAGTGTGCAGGAAAACATACCCCTTAAGCAAGAGTTTCTCAAGTGTTTCTGAAGAGGTCTGACTGAACCAACAAACACTCCCAGTCATCTCCCAGCTTTAGGTGACAGTTTGATACCTTCTTCTCATTATTTGTCTTTAGTCCCTTAGAGAAAGCAATCCACCATTTGCTCTCTTGAATGTTTTTAATTAACAAAACTAAATTTTGGCTAATACTGGATTTTTTCAATCCAAGTAAACCAGCTTAAAATATAAAATAAGCTGAGGCTCTGGCAAACACATTCAGGTCAGCCCTTCACTAGATAAATTGTGTAACTTTGGTAAGGCTAGTCTCAAAGACTGGATCACAGTGCATAATGTATTAAAAAATATTGGGAGAATTCCAGCAGCCAGTATTAAGTAGGTAGTTGTAATTCCTGTGAGATAAAGAATGATAAAGAAACAAATTTAATCCTCCACAAATTCGTCTACCATTTAATCTAGCTACTAACCAGATGATATTTTCTTTCTCAAGCAGTCTTAATTATTCTTCATTCTCCTAATTAGGACTATAAATCTAAGGGAGAAAGTGGAAATCATCAGCTATTAAATTAATATTTCTTAATAAAGCTACAGCTCACAAGTGACATGCATATTCAGAGCTCTGCAGGAGCCCATGGTGTGGATTTCACATTCACGCAGCAGGTCAGAACACAATCATCACACTCTTGGAGCACCTTTAATGTGATCCTTTCAAATCACAAAACAAAAATGATTTTATATTAATGAAGCCTTTAACAATCTGGTACAAGCAGAATTCCCTTATGAAGCATAATAAGGCAGCAACCACCTTTTCTCTCCAGTGCTTCCCCCCTTCTCTAAACATCCTCTCCATTGTCCCAGCTCCAGCTCCATCCAGCTGTTCTTCAGTTACTCCCCTATGTTGGCCAAGCCCTGGGGCTCAGGCAGGCAGACAGTTGTGTCTGTATCTGATAGGAAAGGGATGTGTAGCTGGCTCTTGTCTGTCTGTTGCTTTGGCTACAGATTCGACATTTGAACCAAAGAATCATCAGCTTTACGGATGATTTGCAGAAATAACTCAATGCTTTGTGCAGTTGTTACCGGGGTGAAAGCTCTGTTGATGGCAGCACAGCACTGCTTACAGTTGTGTAGTGAGTGTTCATCACTAATCACATCACTACTCTGTGTCTTAAATGTCTTAAGCTAAATCATTCCAATTAAATGAAAATGTATACAAAGGGACTGCATTAATTTAACTAAACCTTGCTAACTTATGATGGCTTCATTATATGGAAAGATGGACTAGGTGACCTTTAATGGTCCCTTCCAGTCAAAACCATCCTGTGATTCTATATGGCCAAAGCTGCTCCCTCTGCTATCACGTGGCCATAGCGTACAGCCATTGTAATACCTGGGGCTTTTAAGCAGGACTGGCAAAATGGAAGGAGATGTTGCAGCGTACAGCACAGCTGTGTAGGCTGTTATCCCATGGGAATGCCAGGTACCAGATCAGACTGCAAGGGGTAGGCAATCAGAACTGCGTCACCTCATTGTGGCAAGGGAAGGCCAGGGCAATTAATGAAGAGTAACTGAAGTGCTGCTCATCAACCTCCTGTCTTGCCTGGTAGTAACTTATCTGTGTGTAACACTAGTTTGCCCTATGGCAACAGCCTTACCAAAATGACATATGATGCCTTTATGTGGCTTGTCTGGTCTCAGATAGCAGACCAAAAAAAACGCCCTCTATTTCAATTATTAGACAATACTGCTACCCTGTAATTAAAATTCTTCTCCCCCTGCTTTACCCTGAAAAAGTTAATTATCTCTTTGTAGCACTTGCTCTCAGTGCCTGATGTTACTGAAACAGAATCTATCCCATCATTTTAAATGTGACCATAATGTCACATTATGATCACTTAAAACAGCAATAAAATTGTTTTTCCTAAGCCAGTGCTGCACCGTGTGCTCTTGCTGCAATGCCATCAGCAGCAAGTGTATGTGCTGCTGCAAAGAGGAAAGCAGGGCTAGAAAATGGTTCAGTGCTGCATGCATTTCACCATCTATATATCTATATATATTAATTCTCTTTGAAATGCGAATGGACTTTTCTCTAACCCTTCTGTGTTGTCCTGGCTTGGGGGTTGAGGGCTTGGAATAAAAGGTCTTTTGGATGAAGAATTCAGGAGATTCTCCTTGCTTAAATATCTGTACACGAAAGCATGTAATTGGGTCACAGGCTGTCGCTGTCTTCTGCCCATGGGCTCAGAGGCTTTGGGCTGCAAATAAATTAGTTCTAAAAACGATCCTATTAGAATCATCACGCAAATCTTGATTCCCAAATGCTGCCTGGAAATACACGAGGTTTTAGCTTTTTTCCCCAATTATACCACGATTCCTCTTTGAAGCCTGTAGAGGGTGTGCTTTCCATTTCAAATTCAGATTGAATGTCTTTCTGCAAAGCAGAAATCTAGCTCAAATGGAAGTTACAAATTAGCTCCAGATATTATTGGGTGAAATGCTGTGGACTGAGATACACAGAAAGTCAGTAAAGGTTACAAGTGTCCTTTTGGAATGAAACATCTTTCGGTCTCACTGCTGATCTCACGGCTTATTGTCTTCCTCTGTAGCTATAAGCAAAGCTGAAGCTGTGGCTTCACCTCAGACTTTTGTTCTGAAGCCTCAGAACCATACCAAAAGACATGTCTAATCTCACTTCTTTTAATCAGGAATGGGATCCTCTTTTTGAAAAGCAAACTTCTTGACCAAACCATTGCAAAGGCTACACCACCTCCAATTTTAATCATGCTTTCATCAGGAGGTACTACAGCTTGTGAGTTATCTCACAGGAGTACTTGAAGTCTCAAAGTAGATTATAGCACCCAGGGGTTTCAGGAATACACCTGTGAACAGTGACTCTGTCTTGAACAGCTCATTATCTATGTAGGAAAGACAAAATATGGAATAAAGGAATACTCTTCTCCACAGTTAGCACATGGGGAAGGGAATGACAGCAATTATGTGGCCTCAGTTACAATATGGAGACTGCTGCAGAGCCAGAAACTGAAATGAGAGCTCCTGGGTCTCACTCCAGGTGTTTAGAAGCAAATCCCAAAACTTTGTAAGGAACTGTGTCTCCATTGAGCTTTGCTTAGTCAGGTAAGCTGTATGGCATGAGTAGGAGAGAGGGGCAGTCTTCTGCACCCATCCTGCCCTTGCTCTCAAAAAGGGTAAATAACTGATTTACCTTGGGAGACCCAAGACACAGTAAACAGAAGTTGTTTTCAGTTCCATATAAATTATTCTCCTATTTGTTCATTTTTAGGAACATGTTTCCAGCCAATCTTGTTGAAGCCACATTCAAGCAGGTAAGTGGCTATATTCCTTTTACAACTGATGAAAGAGATGACCCAGCATCATACAAAATCAAGTATCTTTGTAAAACAGAATCCAGATACAGACACTGCATATTACTTCAGCTACTGTTAGTACTTTCAGCATTTAGGAATTAAGTCCCTTTCCGTTAGCCCCAGCAGCCTTGGTACCTGAAGGTGTAACAAACAAGCATGAAATGCACAGTGTGACTAGAGCGTGGACACCCACACCTATGTCAGCTCCACCTCCTCTGAGCCCAGTTCTTTGAGGACCTTGAGAAAGAACAATTTATGACAGTATGAGCATGCTTTCTCAACATCAGACTGCAGTCACAGGGTAGCTGGAATCTCTTTAAGAGAATCTGGTCAGAAAACCTCATCTAAAAGTTCTGAGTGAGTAAGAGGCATGGTTACCTTTACTTCACCTGGGGGAATATTTCATGGGAACCTTATCTCTGGTGAGACAAAGAGAACTTACAGTTCTCTTACTTACAGCACTCCTAAGGAGTCATTCCTGATTATGTCTTAAAGGAAAGTAGCTTTATCAGGAGATGATGTGTTTGCTGCATAGAAATCTGATTATAGGAAACTTTTTTATGCTTTTCCAAAAATTCAACTGTTTTTACAGATTTTAGCAGCATAGGGACAGGAGCTGTCATTCTTGTTTTCATGCTTGTCCCTCTAAAAGGCAGCCTTGTAGGAACAGAACACTTAGGAGATCTCATTAAATCTATTAATTCCTGCTGGGGTATTATAATAAAAGCTATTTTGTTTTCTTTCAGTATCGCACCAAAACTATTCCCATCATTAAACCTAGCAAAGCATCATCTGAAAGCACCACTCGTCGCATTATTATATATGGAGTCCAGGATGAGAATGGATCCAATGTCCAGAATTTTGCCTTGGATATCACTCCCCCTCCTGAAGTGATTTACAAATCAGAGCCAGGCACTAGTGATGGCATGAATGTGCTGGGGATTGTGATATTCTCTGCCACAATGGGTAAGTTTCAGACATGTTTGGTTTATAATCATCCAAGTATCCATTTAACAGAAAAAGATATGGGTTCAGGTTTGATTTCTCAATTCACCTTCTATCTAAACTTCACAGGGAAAAAGGCAAAACTGTTACAGAGCTGTTCTTCTAAACCGTCAATGATAAATGTTCAAAATCCTTGATGATTTTTGTTCCATGCAGGTCTGTTTTCTGTGCATGCACGTACATTCTTTTTGCTTTAATTCTTTTCTGGATCTTTTTGCACTTTTATTTATGACCCATTTTTTCCTGACTGTAGGAAACGCCACAATAGACTGTGCTCAGAAGAGATAGGAATCTATACCAGGTCAGACCCATGGCCCCTCTTCCAGTATTCTGTTTCACTCTCCAGACAGTAGCAAAAATCCCAGATAAAGTTTCAAGACATTCTGAAGTAAACAAGTTCATAGCAGACTTTGTTCCCAAAGCCCAAGAAGTCAGTATGCTTCTAATGTCCAGAGCTCCAGGTGTGGTATGACAGGAATAAAGAACCTCCTGCACTGCTCTTGCTTCCAGGGGCATCAGGCTGAGACACCCTCTCATGGCTGTCATGGCTGGATGTATCATTCATGCAGGCCAAGCAAAACCTGTTCCCAGATCAAGTCCTTGGCCAAAGTTCCTCTCACCAGGCAGGAAATTACTTTAGCCCTAGAACCTGCCCTGTCTGTTGCTCTTACCCATCCTTAGTCACATTTTGCCACACGATTAGTGGAGAATATAACTGCCACTGTCAGAACCCAACTCAGATAATGAGCCTCAGTACCATCTATACTGTGGGGGTGGTGAGACACTGGCACAGGTTGTGCCAGTGAAGCAGGGAAGCTGTGGCTGCCCCATCCCTGGCAGTGTTCAAGGCCAGGTTGGAACAGGCTTGGAGCAACCTGCTCTAATGGAAGGTGTCCCTGCCTTTGGAAGGGGGTTAGAACAAGATGACCTTTAAAATCCCTTCCAAACCAAACCATTCTAGGATTCTATGACCTTGAAGAAGTGAGCTACAAAAGTGTATTGTTATATCAGATTTTATTTTTGCCATCCTGCAATGCTGTTAGTTATATAGTAGCTAGTAGCTTACCACAGTGGACTCTCAGAGCTTCTGTCTGGGTGACTGATTCAGTTTAACTTGCTGGAAGCACATATTGGTGCCATGTGTGTTACATTATGTTTGTGGATTTGGAATAGGAAATTTTAACAAACATGCCCTAGTTAATAATAACGTTCTGATCAAATTTGCATTATCTAAATTCATGCCTGGAAGTTAATCTGCTCAGCAAAGGTAGTTCCACAAAACATCTCTGTGTTTATTATGTTATGGCTCATACCAGCACAAGGGGCCAAAAGTCAAGCCTGGAATTAGCAGATTTTCCTCTTTTTTTGGTTTGTCCAGTGGGTGGTATTCCATTTGCAACATGGCTGGAAACTAGCTGTCGCCCAGTTTGTAGTACATTATAGACAATTCCCATAGTACAGTGTCACAGCAAACACTATTCCAGTCAAAAAATTATTGGATATGAATTAATTCATTACATGTTCTTATTAGGATCAAGGGCAGTTTTATACTTCTGAACACAGATCATCTATTGTCTTCCCAGAACTGAATGTTATTACTTTTACCATGCCCCTAAGTCTTGCTGGCCTGGGGCTCAATGGATGGGAGCTGAGAGCTGGTTTCTTCCTGGCTGAGGTACAGCAAATGACCTGCTGGTACTGCCACGTGTGACTGTATCAGCCACAAACAAACCTGAGACACTAAACCCTCGACACTTGTCATCTACCTGTGATTATTTCAGTCTGTCATTTTGAACAAGGGATGCAGCCAGGCATTTGTCACTGTCTTCAGCTTTCTGCACCAAAAGAAATGGAAGCAATGAAACAAAAGACATATGGCTTCAATCTATAAAATAAGAGCATCCTTCAAAAGTGTTTATTTTTTGCAAAAAAAAAAAGCATGCAAGTCTTGGTGCTTTGTAACGGTTTTGCTCATTCTGGCTGAGTCTTATTTTCACAGAGGTCTTTTTATATCATTTTGGGCATAGAAAAACAGCATTTAGGGTGGGTGTGAGTTCTTATTACAGTTTTTTTAAGGTCCTTGAACAGCGTAAGAATAGCATAAAGGGACAAGAGTTTAGACTTGAGCTAACTCTTTCCCTGAAGCAGGAGGTGAATTGCTTAGTCACCTCAGTCCAAGAATAAATCCTGTGCATGAATAACAGGACTTCTTTGCCATGCATGCATTAAAATGGGCAAAGTTTGACAGAGGGAGTGTCAGGTCGAGACATATGTAAAGCCTTGATGCTGTATGACTACCTATAATATCTCTTCTCACACAGTGCGCAGGAATTTCTGTTAGATATTATGGCAGTGGCCAAGCACTGGGACATCTGATCATGTTTTCTTGGAGGAGCATGCATTATTTATTCATTACAAGGCACATAACTTGGTGCATCAGGACTGCAGACAGGAGGCCCTAGTCCTGCCCCCACCAATAGCCACAGGCTTAGGTAGGACAGTGTTTTAAAGAGAAAATTTCAATTATTCCTGTGAAATGAAAAAGAAGATATTTTATTGGTTTTGACATTTTACAGAATTAGAAGATAAGACTCTCATAAAACTGCCACCAACCACGCTAGAGGAGCTGAACTGTATTTAATATCCTAGTGCAAATGATGAGCAAAATGCTTAATAAAAGTGTTGTTTTCTGACCTAAGAGTTATAGCTTAGATGAATATTAACAGGCTTACAAACTCACATCTTGAATGCACTGTTATTGTGAAATCCCTGGATGGGAGAGCTGAAAGCCTCCCTCCCTGCCTCAGGAGGGGATTGCCCTGGAAGCACTGCTGCCGGAGCCATGGCCCCACATGCAGATGTGGGCTCCAAGGAACAGAGGCCGGGCTCTGCTCAGAGCAAGGACACTACATACCCAGAGCAAGTGGCAGCATGCACCACACTCATAGCCCCCTCCTTCCTCATGGAACTCCCTTCAAAGGCAGGCTCACTTGGGGCAGATAGTTTTGGAAGTGCTTCCTTGGGCAATTAACTCAGTTACTTATAATCCTTTCAGGGAGGGATGGCAGAAAATTAACATAGGAAAATGAGTTCTATTTGTATGAATTATTGGAGACTAACATCATCTGGAGAATGTATGGTTAGATGACACATCCCAGAGCTGTTTTCCTTTCCTTTCTGAGCACTGGGTGCACAGAAATGGGTTTTCTTTGCTTTCATCTTCACTAGTTAGTCAATATAGCAATTTGGCTTTTCTTCCCATGGATTTGAATTTCCTTATCTCCCCCAAGTTTGCAAAGCCTGACTGATTATGAGAGTTGGTTTTTATCATGTAGACAGATAACTACTAAAAAATAAGATGGGGAGTCCCTTACTAACAGAACAAACCCCAAATACTGGGTTAGCCCCAGGAGTGTCTCATGGATGCTGCCCAGTTGTACACAGAGCACAGCAGTAAGGGACACTGCAGGCAAACAGAGCTTCCTTCACTAGAAAATGTCACTCAGTTTGTCTTCCATGGATCAACCTGATTTAGTGTGAGGTGTCCCTGCCCATGACAGGAGGTTGAAACTAGATGAACTTTAAGGTCCCTCCCAACCCAAACCATTCTATAATTCTATGATTGTTTGATCCCTCAGAGCAGGTAAATTCTTCTAAGGGCTCTATGAAAGGCAGTTAAAGAAACAGGCTAGCAGGGGAGCTAAATCTACAGCACAAAAGTTTGTGTTTCCACAGGGAAACCTTCAGAGAACTACAAATAAAAAGCCACCTAGATAAGGGAGGGATCCCTGTATGGGGCAAAGCACAAAGCATGTGGCCTGGCTCTCCCACGCTCTTGTGCTTGTGTAAAGTGAGATTTTCAGATACCATATCTCCTTATACAGCATGAAGATCTATATTCTTCCAGTCATCTCCCATTTAGTTGAGTCTGAGTTACAGCAGGGAGGGGAATGCATTGGGGCTTTGCATGAAGGCACCTGAGAAACTGAACCTGAATGCCTTTCATTGCAGGTATAATGTTGGGAAGAATGGGGAACAGCGGGGTTCCTTTGGTCAGCTTTTGCCAGTGTTTAAATGAATCTGTCATGAAGATCGTGGCAGTTGCTGTTTGGTAAGTAACTGTTGTAGTAAGAAAATCAGTATCTTTTTAAAAAGAGTAAGAAAATTTCAATAGAAAAGGATGCACAGAAATCCCATAAACTTATTTGTGGGGAAGGAGGACCTTAGCTTTGTGGGGCATCAGATTTTGAAGGATGATACACACACACACACACACACATCCTCACCCTGGCTTGTACTGTCATTTTGACAGAGGCACTCTATGTATTACACCCAAATAATGGAACATGGTATAGCTGGGTATGTATGTGCTGTATGCACTAGGGGCACTGCCAATCCTTGGCTAGACCTGCCAATCCACCTGCCCCAAAGATCAAAGGAACAGTAGGTGACTGCCAGTAACAAAAACTATGAGCTTAGCACCTTCCCCACACTGCGGAAGGTTCCCCAGTGTTGCTTAGCCTGACGTGGGGGTAATCCCATTACCAGCACTAAGCCTTTGTTTCCAGCTACCTGGTCCAGTCTGACTAAGCTGGCTCAGGGAATGATCACTTGTTTAGATGGGTCCAAAGGAGTAGTTACTTCTGGAAGAATGAGAGGGAATTCTCTGGAGATGGCACAGCTGCAAGTGGAAGATGGCTGGATGCCCCCCGATTATTATTATTATTGTTTTAATCTTAGTCTCTTTCAGCACCCGTTGCTTTGGTTTAGGTGAGCACAGGAGTGCAATAGTTTTGATAAGGCACCTATCCCACACCCAGTACTGAGGGGGTCCAGAAACTAACCATTCTTATGCCTGTCTGCCCCAATCTAAGCTCCCAGGCAGCCCAAGAGCGTGTCTAATGCATGTTGGTGTTTCTCCTATGTCTTCCAAAGGCTACATAAACATTTACTTAACAGCTTCCAACTGAAATCTGCGAAGAGTTACATGAACACAAGCACATTCTCAGAGCTTAGGATTCATTTCCCCTCTCCCTAGTAAATGCCTAAAGCTGGAAAGTCAGAGCTGCCTTCTGAACCAAAACATTTTAAAGTCATTCCTGACCAGCACCATAACCTCAGGTGTGCTGAGGAGTACTCCACATAAAAGGCTGTTTAGTCCAGTGCCTTGGGCATGCTCCTCAAGTGTGAGAGGGGCTTAGGTTGATAAAACAACAGAATCCAGCTGTGCAGCTTCCAGACAGGCTGCTGTGACTGTATTGCTACTGGAAGGATTTCCCAGCTAATACTGTTTGATGGAAGTGACCTATCTCCTAATAATGACTGTCTTTCTTTTTCTCAGGTATTTCCCGTTTGGAATTGTGTTCCTAATTGCTGGTAAAATCTTGGAAATGGATGACCCTTCAGCCATTGGGAAGAAACTGGGTTTCTATGCCATTACGGTGGTGTGCGGCCTGGTGGTGCATGGGCTGTTTATTCTGCCAATGATGTACTTCTTTATCACCAAGAAGAATCCCATCGTTTTCATCAGAGGGATTCTTCAAGCCTTGCTTATTGCTCTGGCCACATCCTCCAGGTATTGCACAGTTTCTAGACATATACAATATAATACTTACAATCATAGAGCCATAGAACGGTTTGGGTTGGAAAGGACCTTAAGATCATTCAGTTCCAACCCCGTGCCATGGGCAGGGACACCTCACACTAGACCATGTCACCCAAGGCTCTGTCCAACCTGGCCCTGAACACTCCCAGTGATGAGGCATTTACAGCTTCTTTGGGCAACCTGTTCCCGTGCTTCACCACCCTCACAGTAAAGAACTTCTTCCTTACATCTAACCCAAACTTTCCCTGTTTAAGTTTAAACCCAGTACCCCTCATCCTATCGCTACAGTCCCTGATGAAGAGTTCTTCTTCTTACTAGATCATTATTACAGCTTTCTCTTGAGAAAAGAACACTAGAGCTGTACTGGAGCAGGTATATTTGTATCTATGTGAACAATGACCCGTGTCCAACTCACTGGCATTATTTTAAAAGATGTGTCTCTCAACATTGGGAAGTTATGTGGAGCCATTTCACAATAATGTTTGTCACATTGTTTTCCCTTAATTTCAAAAATATTGGACAAAACTGTTTTTTCTTAAAGGACTAGAAAGGAAATAATGTTGGGTTTTGTTTTCATAAAACAAACATGCTTCTACAAAGTCAATATATATATAAGGGACACCCAATTTGTCCAGCCTACATCCTTGGTTTTAGTGGAGAACCTCCTAGTTCAGTCATATGGAAACGTTTTACCCTTCCTACTCATCTTAGTCTTTGTTTCTTGGTACGTGAAGGAAAGGCTGTGGATGCAAACTATTGTCCAGCACTGGGAAAGTATTTAGCTGTTCTGCTCAAGGAATAGTATTTTTTGCATCCTTTTTAGGGAAGATGTACAAGTTTTAACCATAGTGGAACAAAGGTACGGTGAAAATGGGAAACAGCTTGTGAACTGGTCATGAAAATGACTCCTAACCAGATAGACTGGTGCATGAGAAAATAATCATGTGCTGGGTGGTGTTTTAACCTCTAATTAGGCTTATCTAATTAAGGCAAGCTTTTTTATTAGAGCATGAAAAGGTTACAGCTTGAGATGTCACATCCCCAGATTCAAATAAGATGCCAATTTTGCACTCAGAGATGTTAGTGTTGGAAGAAGCTCTCACCAGGTTCACATTTGACACACTTGACTATCTGCCCTGCTCCTCTAACAATTCTGTTTCTGAAGAATTCTTCTGCTGACAACTCAGGGTTTTTAATCTGTGCCATTCCATTCATTCTCTTTTTCTAGAACAAGAGAATTTTTCTTTAAAATATAATCTGAATTTTCTTCTTTTTAGGGAAAAAAAAAGAGAGAAAAGTTTGCTCCTCAGTTTACCTGTAGCATGTGTAGAAGAGTTTGTCCTTTTCTGTTAATAAGCAATAAAAATAACCAACTTTTTCGCCAGCATAGATCCCTTTATCAAGGGGGGTTTAATCGAGACTTGAAAGATCAGCACATATTCACCATTTTCAAACCAGATTACTGTTCTTAATTTTCCTTCTGTTGCATCAGCACCGCATTTTGATTTCACAACCAATTTACTAGTCCTTTACTGGTCTGGACATTTTCAGAGCTTGTGCTATTTTAAGTAGTGATCTCCCACTCCTATCAAGGTAGTTCATTGTTTCTTCATTAGATTTCATCTCCTTACTCTGTCTCTAGCTCTGAGAGTATCCAGCCACTTTACAATCATGGAATGCCCTTTTTACAAGTGATAATATATTCAGGTCCAGGTTGCTCTGGTATATTTTGAGGTTAGAAATGTTCCAATGCCAGTATCATCAATCAAAGCGATAAAAGGCAGACACAGTATGTAGTCACTACAGTACACAACCAGATCTACAAAGGGATGCAGGGCTTTGATTCCCTGTTCTACATGAGTGCCTAAGTTACATTACCACTTGCAGGAAGTCCAACACTGGAGAAGTTTTAGATCAGGGTTTTTTTTCTCTCATTTGCTTTCAGAAACATCAGGAAAGAACATGCACGCTCTGTAGCAAATGTGAGCTACCTCCTTTAAAAGACCTGCATATCACACAGTGATCACCATTGCAAAGCTTAACCTGTAGGCAACTTTCAACCACATAGGGTGCCTATAGTTCATCTGGGAACTCAGCTCCTCTTTAGGAGAGGTGAGCTCCTAGGAAAGAGCCCCAAAAGCCAGCATGGCAAGGAGAGCTTGGCAGGCATCAGGCATAGATATGAAGCAAAAACATCAACCTACAGAACTGATGAGAGAGCTGTCTCTCCCTGCTGAGTCTCTTCAATGTAAATCAGTCCTTACTTAAGGTTTTCTCCAGCCCCGAGCTGATGCGAGAGTGTCCACTGACAGCGGGGAGTACATGGGGAATTCAGCTTTCTCTTAAACCTATGCTGAATTTGACTTTCCTGAGCTCCCAGTCCCAGGAAAGCTCCTGTTCTATATCAAATACTTTCATGTAGTGCTCTCTTCCCTTCACTCTGAAGGGAAGAATTCCATGTTTATAGGCCCAGAGAGTATGTAGTTTGGGATCACAGCTCTGGCACCAGCTGGCAGCTCAGCCTGTCAGAATCACCACCAGGTAGGACTTCCTACCAGATTTAGTATCTTTATTATAAGAAGCTAATGTACCACCAAAGTTAAGGTGAATTCTGAGGAAAGGCTCTAAACTTGTGGATTTGGGGCTTGGACACATTTGATGGATTTAGCTCTATTTGCCCCTTCTTAAGACTGTGTATATTTTGCAAATCCAGCACAGGCCCATTGTGGTATTTAATGTTTTTCTGCTCAAATAGCAGTGCCTTGTCTAGAGATAGCTGAACTTTTCACCTTCATTACACTTGAAGGAATGGATACTGCACATAACTGAGCTGTTGCCAAAAGAACATGTATAAATCACTGGGACTGGACAGGAGAGCTGTTTCTCCTGACAGTCAACACATCTGTATTTGGTTAAATGATACTTACCACAGGGGCATTATATAACACTCATAATGTGGGTATTGGATTTTCAGATTGTCCTAGAGAAGAGCAAAGAGTTAAGTTTAAGCAAACTGGTGTGTTTCTTGGAGATGCTTATGTGTCAATTCATGACTACCTCTAAAGATAGAAAGAAAACCTGATGAGTATCAGTGTCCTGATACTCATTCCAGCTATTTTGTACCTGTGGAAAGCTTTCTTTTTAAGCTAAAAGTCAAACTGCAGGAATCAAAAACAACACCATGGACAAAATACAAGAATATAGCACAAGGGAACCTGAAAGCCACCAAGCAGCCATCTCATGCCAATGATTTTATTGAATCTGAACATTAATTTGAACCCATTTCCTTTTAATGAGAGGTTCTGCACTGCATTATCAATCCCTTATATTTCTCCAGCAACTTCTATCAATCACAGCAGTATTTCAGTTTGCACAGACATTACTGGAGAGGCAGGGACTGAGAAGTTCTCTTATTCCTTTGTTGCATCATTTAGGATGCAATAAACTAAATCTGTATGACTAGCACCAAGTCCCTGCACCAGTCACCTGGCCGGCCAGCCCTTGAAGCCAGACCCTTGGCCCCAGTACAAGCTGGCAACAGGCACCCACAGCAATGTTGGCATCTCCACTACAGCAGTAAGGTGTGTACAACACATGCTGTCATTGCCCACCTTGCCCTGCTCTGTGGTGTTCAGGCTGCATCGCTGTGCATTTCTGAGTTGCTGCTTTCTTCTCCTCACATTGCTCCTGATCTTGTCACCTCTTACTGTACTGAAAAAGCAGTCTGTAGCAAAATTCCATTTGATTTTGGCCTTCCTCATTCCAATGGTAAGAGGAAATTTTGTTTTTCTAGGTCATCTTTCCATATCATTAATGAATTAAAGCAGCATTTTCTCAGTGGTACCTCCCATACCATTACAAGAAGCGATTTTCATCTTCTCTGAAGACAAATGATAAAATATGAGTTTTGCAAAGGTTTTGCTGCTTATGAAACACTCAGATCTTGGCTATTGCACAGTGTAAATTAAAGGCAGATTTAGCAGAAGGGGGATGAGAAAAGTTTGTTGATTTTTTGGAGCAAATATCAAAATGCATTTGAATGATAAGATAAACAGAGCAGGCTGAGCAGCTGTTCTTCCACAGTGACTAGCTGTCTTTGTGGCTCACACAAGGAGGAGCTTGGCCTGATCCAGCACTGGCTTATGCTTAGTCTCTGCAGCTGCAGCATTTTATCCCAAAATTGAGATAAGACTCTAAAAATGTATTTTTAATTGTTAGAGTTAATGCTGGAAGAAGATACCCCTCGTCTTAGCTCAAAGCTTTAGGGCATTTTTTAAAAGACTTTAGAGATTAAGACCAGTCCTTTAGAGTATTTTTTCCTCCCAATAAATGTTAAGCTTTCATGTTACTGCTTCACTGTTTTAACCCTAGATAAAGCAGCTTTCAAGCAAACAAACTTCCCCTCATTTAACTGAGAAGACAAAAGAAAGTATTAATTTGATAATGTTTTTTCTTCAGCAGCTGAAATTATGTATTAATATAATGAAAAAAAAATGACAGTAGGATGATACATTATGAGTAAAAATGACCCACCATTGAACAAGACAACCTCTCCTAGGATACTCCACATAACTTCTGTCACCTGCATTCAGGAAATGTTCATTCAGATTGAAAGAGGTATAAAAAGGGTAATCAGAGACGGAAAGTAGCAATCTTGTAAGAGAAGACTTTAAAAAGTTTGATTGGGTCAATCCAGGCTGAGAGGGGACAAAAATGATTTTTCACAGCATGTGTTGTAACAGCTGGACTGATTTGTGCAAGGAGAAATGCATAAAGCACATAAAAACAGGTTTAGTGTAAACTGGAAAGAGCACATTTACACCATAAATCAAATTTCCCACCTTAACAGTGAGTTCTGGAAAGCCTTTCAAGAGGCATAGTTAGGACAGACAGGCTACTAGCTCTAAGATGCGCTGTCATAAATTTGACTGAGACTGTATGCCACAGTTGCCTGTGCTATGAAGGTACAAGCCTTTGTTTCAATATCTTGCACTATCATCATTACACTTACATTCTGCCCATTTTGGTTTATATTATAATATTTAACAAACAACAAACGCTTTGTCTAGTTATGTGTCCTAGAAATCTTACTTCTAACAGACGAAATTAAAATGAAAGAAACACCTGACTCTGAGATAATGCACAAGTTTAAAGATGAATTCTTTCAAAACCGGTGTTATATATTCTGTTTACAACAGTGGAAACAGATACAAATTTTGCTGGTTGTACCATTGGTATTATGGGATTGTTTTGCACAGTCTTTGTCACATCTCAACCAAATCAGAACATGTCAGTCACTTCGAGTTTGCATGTTTCACAGCTCGGCAATCTGTCCTCACAGCAGGAAGACATAAAGGTTTAAAATCCTGGAATGTCAAAGTGTGGGCAAGGTGGAAGAGACTTGTAAAGTTACCTTTTTCTCCTCTTTTCCCCACAGAAAAATTAAACAGGATTTTGTTGCAGAAAAGCCAAATGGCCACAAAACAATTGTCTTTAAAAACAAGTCACACTCCACAGCTGAAGTAGCTGCAGGGAAGGGAGACAATGAATAATTCTAGTACTTGCTTCCTGGCCATGCCTGTAGTTAAGAACATCCAGAAGTGCTGCTGTGGAGGTCTGCTCCTAGTTGCAGCTATGCCAGAGGTTATCTGTGAGCCCCAGCCTCCTCCTTCTATTGTATGAACATTTTACAGAAAACAAGACATGTAAGTCATTCACAAATGAATGTGTGAAAAATGATAGGGGTGCCCAAGAGAGAAATGACATCTAATGTATAGTTGGGGGGGGGGGGGGGGGGGTATTTATGCTTTGCTATGGTAGTTTTTCAGAGTAAATATTGATTCGGACTGCTGGAATTAAAAGGTTTAACATACTGCAGTTACCAGAGGTAATCAGGTTTCTATTACTGCCTCTTTGCCCTTTCAGTTTATTCACATCTTTAGAGAATGACTTGTGTCCAGATTTTCATGGCAGTGACTGCCAGCCTGCAGTAAACCAGAATTCATAGAAAGATATCATAATGAAAGCATAGGCTTGTCTTTTTTCCTGTGTGTTTTTATTGCAGGAAGCTACTTTTCCTTTCCAAATGCTGTTACTTGCCTCAAAAAACAGCTTGCACAAATACAGTGACAACTCCTACTCATGAAAACATTTTGCTAATGCATTCCAGCAAACTGGGGGTTATGATTTCAGAGCTTTCGGCATCTCTCTGTGCTTTTGTAGGAATTTCCTATTTTACATCTATTTAAATAGTCTCAGACACTGAGCAGTATATTCAAATCAGTATGATTACAAGGAAAATATTTTGCCATTTGTGTCTTTTCTTCAATGATATTACTTTTTTCCCTTACAAAATGATGTGCCATAAAAAAATACCCCCTCACTCACTTGAATGCAGCTTAATTTCTTATGACATATTAGTGAATGTGGCACCATATGGTAAAATGCAAAATGTTACAAGAAGGCTGATAGAATATGAAGAGAAACATGCTTAGGTGTATCACTGTTTAAAAATGCAGACATCTTATGATGTGTGCATTGTGAAAATGAGGAAATTTATAACCAGGTAATATTGCCTCAGTTAATGGAAACAAAAATCAGATGGTTTAAGAGAGTATAAAATCAAGGGTTAAAACTTGAAAGACGTCAAGCTCATTTGAAAATGAAAACCTAACAGCCTTATACCATTCCACATACATACATATTTGTATCTTAATTACATAGGTATGCATTATTATATGACCTTCAATTATGTGATTGTTATATGGGCAAACAAGGAACATGGGCAGATCTCTCCCAGAGAGGAAATGGGATTGTCTGTTCTTGAATGCAGGAGCTTTGATTTTCAGGTGTGCTTCTGGTAAGATCTTTGCCACCCACCTTGTAGAAACAAGAAATTGCTTACATACGAGGTAAGACATAACTGTATTAATGCAGTGTGTGCAAAAGAGGGAGCAGTTTCTCGGTTGGAGCTTGTCCACTGGGATGTTTTAGAGTTCAACACAACATTCCAATCTCTTGTAAGCCTATATTGATCATCCAATTACTGTCAATATACAATGAGAACTGGAGCAATTCCTAAGGACACTCTCACAGCATTTATTTACAGTGAGTGAAGAGCCTTTCTTGCTCTTACCTATTGGTTTATGGTTACTCTTGCTGTTTATAAATGGCTTTCTATTTCAGAAGGTCTGGAAGGAAAATTTTAGATACCATGAGTGCACAACAGTTTTCAGCTGCATGGGATGTTTCTCTTGTCTTGCATTTGAGTGTACGATGCTTCCTATGTGAGCTTTCTGTCCCTTTTCTTCAGAAAAAGAGAACAACATTTTTAATTCTGGGGAAGCAAACTTTGCACTAACTCTAGCATTTATACATGTCCCTGTCTTCATCCTCCCTCAAGCAAAAGCATTACACAGCAAGTGACTACACATTCAGACCAGGGAATGAGAAGCAGTGCTCACATGGTTAGCATAAAATGCACCCTGCCTGAAGAAGTTTTGCTACAATTCCTTCTATTCCCCAAAAACAAAAATAATTGCATGTGTACTCCTCTTGTTTGCAGCTCAGCCACACTGCCTATTACTTTCAAGTGCTTGTTGGAGAATAACCATGTGGACAGGAGGATTGCGAGGTTCGTGCTGCCTGTGGGAGCCACCATCAACATGGATGGGACGGCGCTGTATGAGGCCGTGGCTGCCATCTTCATTGCACAAGTAAACAACTATGAGCTGGACTTTGGGCAGATTATTACTATAAGGTATAAACCTCAAATTCGATGTGCTGTTGAGTCTGACACTCTTAACCATCCTTGTGTGTAGCAATGTTCAGAACAAAACTTATCGAAGGATGCATTCCTTGTAGGATGGTTGTTTTTGAGTAACATGGAGATCAGGGACCGTACAAGAGAAATTGTGATGGCACTGTTCAGTAGAAGCATGTGGACACCAGGAAATGTGTTTCTGTTTGAGGATAACTGCCTCACTTTTACCTTCAGGCAATGCATTGATTGTTTTCTAGGATTGAAGCACTTTAATATTATTATTTGGCTTAAAAAACTATTTTAAATGTCAGAATTGTTTTCAACTGCTGGTTTTCATCTTTATATGAGAGGAAAAGGTCAAAAATATGCAAACCTACAAGTCCTGTATCAGATAAGAGGGAATAGTGAGTGCTAGGAAGCTCTTTGTCAAACCTTGGAGGAGTAGGGGAACAGGGAAGGAGGACAGATGCTACTACCAGGGCAGGTTTTCATGAAGATTTATATTTCTTAAATGTCTCCTCTGCTGTTTATTAAAGCAGAAAACTTCCTAAACAACCATGCTGTCAGAGGGTAGAGAACGCTATAGCTGCATACTCCATCCGTGAAAGGTCTGTAATGGATCCAAAAGACTAGAAGATCCAGCTGAACAGTTATTGCCAGAATAACTCTAGTGGCTGCCAAAGAACACCTCAGGGACTGAAACCTGCAGGTTTCCAGCAGAGAATGATTAGAAAAACATTCCTCATAGTCAGAGCCTTGTGCAACATGTTTGAGATCTGCTGCCCTACCCATCCAGTGACCTCGTCACTGCCCTGTTTACACTGCTGGGCCTTGCCCACCTTCCGCTGGCCTTGAAAACCTTCATGAGGAGCAGAGGAGAGTCCTGAAACTAACCCCAGAGGACAGCTGAGGTTTGCTAAACTGCTTCTGTCAAGAGCTGGTTAGACTCGGAGCAGAAGGAATACACTGTGCCCATGTGAGCTCTTGCTTCAGGCTCACTCTCTGAAAGTTATTGGTATGACAGTGTGCTAAACTTTAGTATTTCATGATTTTGAATTTGAAGATGTTTTTAGCATGTGGTCCCAAAACATGGCCCAGAGCATGGGTAGGCATGACATACATCTTGAAGTGGAGAATGGTGATTTGAAATATGAAGGAGAAAGAGGGTCCTAGTAAATGGAGAGAAGGTAAGTTCTAGCTTTCTTTTAGTGAAACCCTATTTAATCTCTTTCACTCCCCGTGTTAAGTGCTAGTACATAAAGACCAGACAGAAGTAAAGATAGTAGAAGCAAAATACAAATGAAGATTGGAAAATCCAAGAAAAGACAGGAAAAAGACTCACTTATAAAAAAGGGGTTAAAAAGGAAGTCACTGTGGATTCAGTACCTTGAATATCTGAAGGCAAATTCTAACTGTATTCTATGGATTAAACCTGCCCCACATGTTGATCATTTAGGACCTGGATATTTAAAATTCAGATATTCCTGAGTGCTAGGATACTTTTTGCCAGAAGGAAAAAAAAAAGTGTTAGCAAAACAATCAGTCTATTTTGCTCATAGTTTGTAAAATCCAGGTTGACAGTTTCTATCAATGTGGATATGCAAACCTAGATGTAGCAGGAAAAGAGAATAAAGACCCTATTCCCAGTACTAGAGCATACTATAGAAAGATGCATCTATATTAAGGTCAACATTTAATGGAATAGCAGATGATCTTGACTGTTCATCTTAGTTAAACATTTCTAGTTTCGCTCCCATTTAAGTCATGAGCCCGTTCTATCCTATCTACCCTCTGCCTGCTACAATGATATGAGGGTGCTCTACGAGCTGGCTTTTCAAAATGTAGTTTTAAATCTTTCTTGTTTCCCCTCACACCCACAGGCAAGTGTAGTTTTTATTGCAGGAAAGGGCTCTAGTTATAAATACTGATTCTGCTCTACTGGTACACTGTGCAGCTGCGAGCAAGAGAGTGGATATCTCTGTGTCTGTTTCCATATGGGCAAATACTGTTACCCTCATTTTCCATCATAGGAGATTGAGACTTACGTGCTTGGACTGTCAGTGTATATGCTTTATGCCATTCTTTTACAATTGTCAACATTTGGGTTTTGTCTTCCTGGATGGCCTAGCTCTTGGAAGTAGCCAGATGGGCAGAAATGAATATATCCAGTTACTTTTGCTCCTGGAAAAGGAATGAAATCCCTCCCCTAAAAATAACATTATAAAAAAACAAAGTTAATCCTGCCAGGCCCACTCTTGCCCTTGTCTCCCATTCATTTCTGCTTGCCTGGCTGAAAAAATGGTGTGAAGGTCAAGTAAAAATACTTTCCAGAAACTGAAGAGGTACAGTCACATTCACGCTTGCTTCACGGTTAGATCCAAGTATGCGAAGCCATGTGCTATGCAAGGACTTCACCCTTGGCGAAGCCTCTTTACCCTTGGGCTGGCCTGGTGATGGATTGATATTAAAGGCCCTGGCTGCAGCCAGCTGTGGATTTGCCTGGCACAGGCACTGCTGCTGATGACTCAGTGATATCTGCTGGAAGCTCTGCAGCCAAGGGGGAAGCAGCAATGAGTGCTGGCAGATTCATGGCACACAGCGCTGCGTGATGCCATGACCCACAAGAAGATGACATAACTCAGAGAAACCCACAGCCTGGCTGCCCCTCTCTCTCTGCACTTGTGATATTAGGAAATGATAGAACTGCCCCACCAGTGCAAAGATAGAGGGTGAGAATTTAGCCCTGGGCAGACAATTTGGCCTATTCTTGCTCTCTGACCTGGCTTCTGTCCATAAAACACCAGCAGTTCTGTGCAGTGGCTTCTGTAATAAGGATGATGGTTAAGGAAAGCTCCTGTAGAAACATGGTGTGGTTTCTTGCAGAGTAACCCATGACTGGTAAAGCTTATTTTTTTCTTTCTGTAAGTATCACAGCAACAGCTGCCAGCATAGGTGCTGCAGGGATCCCACAAGCTGGCCTGGTGACGATGGTCATTGTTCTGACCTCAGTTGGGCTCCCAACAGATGACATCACGCTGATCATTGCCGTTGACTGGGCACTGTAAGTAACATTCAGCTTTTGAAGTTTCCAGTGTGGCAACATTGCTAAAAAGGCAAACAGCCTCCAGGGGTATAGCAATACAGATAGATATAAAAGGCATGGGAAGTAATTATTTTGCTTGAAATGCTGCTAATGTGGCCTCAGATTAAATACTCTGCTGAAGTGGGCATTATATTGATCAAAAGGCACAGGGAAGTAAGAGAGTCTAGATGAGACTTGAATTATGACCTACACTGAAAGACTGAAGAATGGAGTTTGTTTAGTCTAAAACCAGAGCAGGCTGAAAAAGGTCACCACAGAAGTCTGTGATATAGATAAGACCATCCTGAATAGGACGGTAATCAATTGTTCTTCCCATTCACAGGGAGGGAGGATGAAGTAGACCAAAGTAACTACCTTAAGTCAGCTCACAGGAAAACTTAAGATTTATTTCTGTCTAGAATGATAGTCAGGCAGTGGAAGTGGCTGCACCTAGCTGGGATGGAGGATGACCTTCATGAGAAGTTTTAAGGTCAGGCCAGACAAATGTCTACCAGGTGCAGCTCTGGTACCTTGCCTTGGACAAGGACAAGGGACCAACATTCCTAGGAAATGTGGTTTGCTTCTACTCTGCTTATGAGCCCATTGACACTTCAAGGACATCTCAATGACACTTCAAGCACTTTGCAGAGGCATGAGCCAGGGCTACAGCAAGCAAGTACTCCTGCACCACATATACCACTCTGCCTGAAACAACTATATCACAATACAGTAATGGTTTGTGCTCTACATAGCTACTACTGCTGTAACTAGAACCATGATACAAACCTGAATGTAATATGTGCAGTGCACTGCATTAGGACTAATAACGTCTTTTTATTACACATCCTGGCACAATTCTGCCCTTTGTGATTTCAGTGCTAAACAGGCAGCAGCAATTTGTAGCCCTCCTGCACAGAGCCATGTTTTGCAAGAGCAGCCATTCTCTAGAGGTTACTCTGCTGTATCTTAATCACTGAGGATTTAACAGCAGAGGCAGAGGCTAAAAGTTAACACACTCAGAGTAAAAGCAGTTTGTGCCACCCATGAGAAGAGCCACTTTAAAAACTCCTACGGAGTCATTTATTTGAACTCTTAAATTTTCTGTCAATGTCTATAAATCAGTCAAACAATTTTGAAGAATCTAAGAAGGTGAATTGTAAAATCCTGGTCCTTGCTTCGTTGGCATTTCAGTCAACTACAGAACTGGTGCATGCATTCACAAAGAAACAGCCCAAATTATTTCTTATTTAATCTATATATCTCCATCAATACACTGGAGTTTCATTACATCAAGGTTCTGGGTAAAAGTGTGTTATGAGTCCATTCTGTTTTATACCCTATTTTAGGCAACTTTAAGCCATTGATTTTTTTGTTCATTGAATTGTGAGAAGTTATTTACTTTCCCATTCAGTGTAATAGGATATTGTTATTAATAGGAGTCATGAGTGTAGTGTTGTATGCTTATTTTAAGACATATTTTATTTTAGAAATATCAGGAATATTCTTCTGTGAAGGATAAATAATATCTGCTGTGGACACCTAAACTTTGGAATGGTAGTCATAGAATCATAGGCTCATAGAGTCATAGAATGGTTTGGGTTGGAAAGGACCTTAAAGTCATCCAGTTCCAACCCCTTGCCATGGTCAGGGTTGCCTCACACTACTCTCTGAAACCCAATAGTTAATGAAGCACAATAAAATAAAAGTATTTTAAGAAGCGGTATTACAAAAGCCTTTTCCCCTCTATATTGCTCAGTTTTCGCCCAGCTCTTGCAAAATCAACATTTCATTGTTTTTCCAGTAAGGCTTCCAGCGTATATGGGAATTAGGGTTCTTTTTGTCTTACAAAACTTTTCAAAACAACAGACAAAACACTTTTCAGGCTCTAGTTCCAGATGGTATTTAAAAGTGAGTGAGGAACAGACCCAATTTTCTGTCTTTTGCAGATGACCTTTCATGCAAAAAGTGTTATTTCTGTATTTCGGCACTTGGTGGTTTCAAGAGCCTGCAGATGCAAAGTGTCAACATGGCTGACAGGGTGAATATTTTCAGTATTAGTTTTGGATGTACTGGAGTATGAAGAATGCTTAAAGAAGGCTGGTTAAATGATCTCACGAGACTGAAATACCATTACAATGCCCCGCAGGTATTAATGCATTTAGGTAGCTGTAACATATATGTGAACTTCATACCTTCAGCTAGTACTTAGAGACATAAAGAAGAGTATCAAAACATTTCTCATCTAATTCAATAAACACAAGGTAAAAGTTTTCATCTTTAATAATATCATCTAAAGCTAAAATTCCACTGCAACACCTGGCTCATGTGTTTGCACTGAAAAAGCCACTAGCAGCAGGTTGGCCTCTTGGTATAGAAATTTCAGTGGTGTGCAGCGTGGTTCTACTCATATGTAGACTACTCTGTACATACAGAAACATTGAATAGACCTGGTCAAACAACGTGCCAGGCAATCCATTTGTTTCAGATTTACACTGTGGTGCCCTGTTTCTGCAGAAAAATCCTATCTTTAAAAGAGATACCAATCAGGGCTCACAAGGGACTGCAAACTCTTGAGTTCTGCTCATACAACTGCTCTACCACAGCTGACTCTTTGCACAATCCAAAATTAACGACTCGGAGTATCTTTCCAAGAATCAAAATTTGATAATCAACAAAGAAAAAGGGAAAGTCCATGTGTAGCAGGAACATCCATCAGTATGTGCTGCAACAGTGTTTTTCCCCTCTTTATATATTCTTGTGGGAATTTTCCTCCAGGCAAAACCCAAAATCAGAACAGCAGGAATTAGAAAAATGGATTCAGCAAACAAGCGCAGGACTGTGTCCTGGAGCAAACAACCACATCCAGGTGTAGGCTGTGGAATATTATTGCTGAATGGGCAATTTGGGTAACTGCACGCACAAATAACCTTTCATGCAGGAGCTTTCATGCTAATGAGGCAAAGTAACTGCATCAACATTTGCATGCACAGAGCAAATGCCTAAAATATCTGAAAAAGAATCAGCACAGAGTTTCCTATAGGATCAGAAATGTGACAGTGTTGATATTGGACCATCACTGACTTTAATAAGCCAAACATCTGGAGATTTCTGAACCTCCATTTTATAACCCACATTTATAAATTAAGTTACTAATGTGACACAGTTTTCAGATGTGTATGTTTTTCTTGGAAAAGACGTGCTATATTTCAGACTTGGAAGCTAGATAATCTATTTGAAAGCTCGTCAGTTTTAACCAATAGATTCCAAGCTGCTTCAAGTGTAACATTTGTCTATGACAACCGCTTTTGTGTATTTACAGGCTGGTTTTTAATAGACTTAATTTTTAGGCAGTGGGTAAAAGGTGTAAACAGGGAAGAAATGATCCCATCAATTAATAAATCAAAAATAGGGAAATTATATATATAAAGTACTGTCAAGCATATTAAATTGAAGTTGGAAAAGATGGTAACTGAAATGAAGAAGCTTTCAGAGCCACTGGTAGCCATGGCAACCACAGCTTTCTCAGAAACTAACATGATTTAAACATAGTCAGTGCCTGCTTAGTTTGTGAGTGGAGTTACTTAGCAATCTTCTGAATCATTTTGATTGTATTCTGCACATTCTACCAATACAATATTCTTAACTAGTGCTTCAGTTGCTGAGATTGGGACCTTGATAACTAATAGAAGGTACTGGTTGTACTGGATGCCCTCTACTTTTGTTGAATTAGGATATTTGCAAGCACCAGCCTCCAAATCGGGCCATAATACTGGACCTTAACACGAAACCTCAGCCATAAATGCAGTCTTGATCTGCTGTGTTAAACCTTTTTAGCACTGAATCAACTTGCACATATAGGGAGGCAGAACTGCTCTGGTTAGCTCAGTTACAAATTAAAGTACATGGCAGCACAGCACACTGGGCTCAGAAAAGGCTGGAACACCCAACTGAGCAGCTCTGTAACTAGTGGCTGTCCTCTGCCAAACTCCTTACTACCAGTTCTAACCTTATTAGCTCGTAAAACCGGTGAAGCTGGCCTTCAGCTGTAATCACTGCAGTGATGCAGGCTTAGGAATGTACTCAAAGAACCAACAAATTACCATTACTATTTCATTTTCTAGTGACAGGTTTAGAACAATGATCAATGTCCTGGGAGATGCACTGGCTGCTGGGATCATGGCCCACATCTGCCGGAAGGAGTTTATCAAGGACGGTGATGAGGTAACAGCACTATGAGCTGGGGTGTGCCAGTGTGTGCCATGTTAGGGCAAAGAACCTGTGAGCTCTCAACCTCCCATGATTGTTTCATCTAGTTTATAAAGGGTGTTTCAGAGAGAGGACAGAACTGGGCAATGTGCTGCTCAGCCAGATGTGGGGGAAGGGTCCTTTTGCATGAGGTCACACACAAAAGCCACTTGAGCTCAGAGCTTGCCAGCCAGCTGTGTCTGGCACACAGGGCTGGGAGCAGAAGCAGCTGCACTGTCCTGCAAATGCACGAGAGGCTGGAACTTGAGTCCTGCACTCAGTAGCCAAGTCCTGACTGGCCAGTAAGTCATCCTGCTTCTGAAAATGTGACCAGCAACAGAGCAGGGTGACAAATAATCCTTGAGTGTTTGTGTGTAGGGGAGGTAAAATAACCCATGAGCACGTATATGCATCAGCAGTAAGCTCACAACAAAAGCAACAACCGTGAGTGTTTCAAGCCTCTGTGTTGGCATGATCGGAAGACATCATTGCAATGATTTCTTCTCTGAACTAGCACAAGCACATTGCTCCATTCTAGACTTCATTCTCTGGCATCTTCATGCCTTCTACACTTAACACAAGCCCCTCCTTACATCTTTGTTTTTCCTTTTCTATGTCTTGTTCCATATACCACACACATTCTGCCCCTGCCTCCCTCTAGTCCTATGCTTTTTTTCCTTCCTCCTTGGCATGCATCATTCAGTCTTTCCTTACACCAGGAACTCCTTCTCATGATCTTCCTTCAAATCCTTGCCAAAGAAGATTCCTAATTCCACAAGCCCATCATGCTTGGAGGTACTAGTCTCCAACCATGTCATGCTCATAGCATAACTACCTTTCTCCCACAAAGAGAGAAATGTTTCTTCATGAGGAGTGATTTTCACAAGACATGTTTCAGTTCTGTGCATCACTTGGAGTATTCTACAAAGAACAACAGGATTAATAACAAGTTTTACTTCTGTTATTATTATTTCTCCTGTTTTGCAGACAGTCTTTCTGGTAAATCCCATTCTCATGCCTTCCTGCAATATGCATTTAAAAGTCCTGCTCTTTCAAGCTTTATACAGAAAGACAGGCCTTATCCTCTGAGGTACTTAGCACCCCCAGTAATTACTGATGACAGGATTCGGCCTGAATATGTGGGCTACACACATAGCTAACTACAAAAAACAAACATCCAACCTAATGGTAAGGTATGTTACAAAGCCAGAAGTGTAGTCTGAGTTGCTGCATAACACAGGCCTCCTGACATTTCATTGCTGTATTTAGAACTCACTCAGAACTCAAGAAGAGATATTTCAAGAATATAAAATCCCTCCTAAGGGATTATTTAGTCATCTGCAATGAGATTTTTCTTTGCCTCATGCTCTATATTTGTATTAAAATATACCATTAGTCTGCCATATATTTTGGCTGCATAATATGTGGACTTAGTAACGTATACCCAAAGGGCAAATTTTCTCAGCTGCAAGCCCACCTCGTTTCTCTGCCAGTATTTACGTCTTATTTTCCCCATCAGAACTTCTGGTTTGATTTAAAGAACACTTCAATATTTAACTTACAAAACAGTCAATAAAATCCCCTTTATTTCTTTTGAAACAGTGCAGACTGAAAAGACAGGTATTACTTTATTGGTTTAGAAGAAAGGGGGAAGGCAACAGCAAATGACTTACTGTCTATATAATTGCACTCAAGAGCAAGCTCTGCCCAAAGCTGAGCATACTGGTTATTGTGAGCCCATCTCTCTCGAACTTAGCCCTGAAATTCTAGTCTTTACCTACTGTACTTTTATTGCTTTACTGATGCAAGCAGTTATTACTATATGTTAAAATAGAGTTGTGATAGAATTTGCTATTTTAAATACTTAGAGACACCTTCACTTTATCCAGATGGTGCAAAGATGCTTTAGTGTATATAAGAAACAGGTCCTGAAAGCCTGTGGTGGCCCTAGATAATCCTGGTGAATGTAAAGCAGACCACAGGCTTTCAAAGTAAAAATTCCTTTCCTTTTGTATACAGCACACAGGGGCAGTATTCCAGATCTTAATGCTTTTCACATAGGTGCCACTGATCTGTGAAACTAAGCCTATTAACGTCCATCAGATTGTGGCTTACCAGAGAAATGGCTGTGTGAAGACCATGAATGCATCTCATGGAGCAGAAACAGTGAAGGCGTTTCAGCACCACATACCTGTACAAGTGGAGCAAGAAGAAAGTCCAGTAGAGAATCACACTAAGAAATCCAACAGTAAAGACCACTGCACTATTGAAATAAATGAACTAGAAACAAATGTGTAACTGCTACACTCAGGGGTATCTCATACCCCAGTGACCTGATAACCAGTCTCTACCTCACAGCTGGAAGAAGGACTTTTTGCCTTGAACAGGAAAATGTGGGAAAACGTGTGATTATCACCACTCTGCTTGTACTGGAGCAGGAGACCAGCTGTGACCGTCAGGAAAGGCACACAGCTCGCACAAGACATGGGTTTCTTTAGGTGGAAGATTTCAATACTGAAAAGCATAACTAATGGACAACTGCTGGTTTATTCTGCACTCATTTGACTCCAATATAGTATTTGACACTCCCTTGGCTTATTTTTTTTTAAGTTTTTTTATTTGACCCTTTTTGTTTTCTAACCAAAGCCTTTTTTTTTTGTGACTCTCAGTAATTATGAACACTGTATTTATGTAGATATTTTGTTATGTGATTTATGTATTTTTGGCTATGTTTCACCACAACTGCTAAAGGTTTTGTCTAATATTCGCTAAATACAGAGTTTGTGCTTAGTTTTAGAACAGCAGGAAGAAAATCACACTGATTTCCTGATCTCAAGGGGTTACATGTATTACTAAATAACACTTCAAGCAGAGGTGAAGCAGAGCATGCATTTTTGCAAGACAGCATGTTAAGGTAATTCTGATGAGCAGCCTTCAGAGAGAGGCATTCAGGTGTGATACATAACCCACAGAATTCCTAGGTCACTACAGAGCACAGTTTGCCTTCCAAGTGCCAGATTTATTAACCTTTTTTTTAACCTAACTCTTCAGTAGAGTCAGTACATGCACCTGCAGTGGCAGAGGCAGTGTGAGACCTAATCTGTAAGCACTGGTGCTAATGTGTCCTCTCCTGTAATCTGTAGGCTGTTCTACTGTAAATATGTATAAACACAAACTTCAAGCTCATGAACCATATGCTTCCTCCTAAAAGCAGACTGGACACAAACTGGAACCTGATGATGCTGAAGTAATATGGCGGTTTTGAGAGGAGATTGCTGTGGGAACTGGCCTGGTCTTTTTTCTGATTTGGTGGTTGATCTACATTGACAGTTACTCCCTTTCCACTGTCTACTGAATCTTTCAGTTACAATAAAATCTGCTGAGTGTGTTTCCAATGTTTGTGATAGAGAACATTTTTAATAAACCTGCCATTTAAAAACAGGCTGCCTGTGCACTTCTGCTATTAGTGTCTGCTTAGTTCTGTGCCAGAATGGAGAGTGGAAGTGAGGAGACCTTTTCAAGTAGTGGGATTCAATCCAGAGATGACATACTAGTTCATACCAGTACACTTGACTATATTTAGCTACTTGTGGTATATCAGTTTCAGATAACATGTGCCTTGTATTATAATACACTTCTCTCATCTGTAGAGTAAAAATAACCCAGTCAAAAAGGACAATTTCTGCACTCACCAAAAGCAGAGGTGCTTCATGCACATGATTAATGGTTTTCCTTGGAAGCAGGTATTTACCTCTTCTTTGAGGGCTGCTGTTCATACTGTTTCTTTTGCCATGCACTAATTAGTTGCCTCAGAAAGGTCTATATGGGTAGTTTAAATGTCAAATGGTAAAGCCAAAAAGAACAAACATACATCTTATTTGCCTATAGTTCCTGAGAAATGATGTATTCAATAGAAAATACACACAGTTGGTAACTTTATTTGATCCTAGAGTGAAAACAAGAAAGAAAGAACAAAAGAACAGGGAAGAACTGGAATAATTCAGAATAATTTGCTCCTGAACACGGTCCTGTAATGGATCTGCTCCATGGAGTGCCATTAAAATGGGTACGGATATGAGAGAGCTGAGGCTGGTCTCTGCCTCTGTGAATGAGCAGAAGCATGACCTGACAAACATAGCATCTGATCCTTTCATCTCAGCAGCACTGACAGCTCCAGGAGGTGTTCTTCCTCCTTCCCCAGCTGTCCATTCCTCCCTGCACTTCCTCCTCTCCTCTCCCAGCTGTACAGACCCAGTTATTTATGAAACCAGATGAAGAATCGGATGAGAAGTACTTTTAATTCAAACCAGTTCACATATGTTTTCAGCACAGTCGTAACAGGCAGTTGTGTCAACCCAAGTGAAGGGGTAACACAGGGACAAGAACAAGCAGCCAGGGGTGGAACTGTGTAAGCACATGTGCCTTTGCCAGCAAAGAATACATAAAGTTTTAACTTCATACAGTCAGTTACTTCACGGTTAACTATGTGAAGTGATAGTAAAACCCTGTCAGTCATCACTTTACAGTAACTTTGTATAGATAAAAATGATGACGAAAGAGGCCACGTAGATCCAAGATTTTGAATGAGTAGTTACAAACTAAATGGTTTTGGATAAGTCTGCCCACACACCGTGCCAAGGTGCCATGGTCTGCCAGGCAGAAAGTTCAGCTAGCCTTACCACCACCACCTTCTCCAGCCACCTACAACCTTTGGCTAACTACAAAGTGTAAATCCTTTTGCCTGCTTCTCTGAGACAGCTTACATAGTCTGACACTCTTCAGCTTAGTCATGTCTCAAAAGGTCTAAGCCAACCCCAGTACTAAGAAGCTGTGACTTCTACAAGGAGAACTTCAGATGAGATAAAGCATCAAAGGCCAGAAGAAGCAGCCACCTGTGCCATACAAGTCCTGCACAACAAAGAAAACCACGAGTGTGCCTTTTACACTCTGGCAAGTAGGGAACGTGGAAGTCTCATGTGTGAGGGCATATCTTTATGGAATCAACAGGCTGTTTTAAAATTAGCCTTCTGCATTCAAACCTTATTCAAAGAATGTCCAGTTTTGCTTTGCAAATTTGAAATGCAGTTTTCATTTTTACATTCTACTGTTCACATCTTTAAACCTTGGGGTTTATACTAATATGTGCCTCCCACTCAGCTGGGAGGAAGGCAATGGTCCAGTTTATCACCTAAATAACTTTATTCTTTGTGGTATAAATACTGCTAACTGTAGGCCTAGAGCACCTTAGTACTTTGTTCTGGTAAATACACATTGCTTAGTGAAGTGTGACCTTGACTGGAGCATCTGCCTGCTACAACAGTCCTCCTGTACTGAACACAAGACCCCGCTGTTAATTGGGAAGCGGCAAACAGAGAAGGTAAAATAATTTTGATGGTAAGTTTTCATTTATGTTAGCTATTTTTTGTGTCTCACAGTGTTCGTTGTCAAGCAGCTTGACACACAGAGCAATTAGGCTAGCAGAAGCTTCCATATGATAATTGCATGCATGGATCTGTTCATATTTTCCAGTTATAATCACACTTCCTTCCAACAAAAATAATGAAGCTGTTGCTTATCAAGTTAGAGTGCAAGCTTTGTGTTGGTAAATATATTTCTCCTACTTTCAGAGCATAAAAACAAACATGTGACCTTTATAGTCTCAAAACGTTCATATGAAAAAGATCAGTCAATCAATCAATCACTAATTACAACAGTTTGCATGGAATAATCTCAAGTATATGTGGAAAGAACATATTTCATAACTGGCAACATTCAATCTTATTTTGAAGTTGCCTCCCCCTGCTAAAAAGAAAGGGAACTTAGCCAATAAAAGTATACTTAAGACACACTAGAGGAGAATGTTGAGGAGAGAGAGAAGATGATTAAGAAGAGTGGTGCGTTGTATACAGCTATGGAAGAAATACATTGGGAAATAACCCGAATTAACACATACTTATCAGAGACAGAAGTTTTATGCTGATTATTTTGCAGCTGCATTGCTCTAGAGATGCTAACAAGAAGAAAGAAGCCACTGAAGATTGTTGGGGTATAAAAACATCCTTAAAGACATCTTAAAATAGGTTCCTGAGGATTCTGCAAATGCTAAGGAAGTTTTGAAGTAACGAATTGCTGTAATAAATCCATGTGCAAGAATTAGAGCTGGGAGAAAGAGCCACAACCAGAGCATTTACACATCCCACTAACTCCCAAGAACTTTTGGTTGCCAACCCAAACACGGAACTTTATGGAACTAATAGAGTTGCTCATATTCCCAACTAGTCTTAATTGTTGCAGCTTAAATTACTTACTGTAGCTAAGCTTTCTTTGTGCCACCTGAATATGTATCCCAACATACAAATGATATAAATAATTAGGTGAAAGATTAAATTGTAGGCTCCCTCCATGCTATACTTCCAATTGTGAAGCACTTACTTAGAAAATACAGTAACTCTGTGGCATCCCCATTTGGTGAGCTCTTGCTTTCAATTCTACAACAAACATCAATTTCAGTTCATTTTTAACAATAGAAAACTGATCTATAATATTTTCAAAGCAGATGGAAAGCTCCATCTTCAAGCCAGATGGATGATCTTGGAAGTGACCTCAGCCCTTTCTGTGCTTTCCATAAAAATGAGATAACTACTTGCAGAAGGTGGTTGACGTGTGCAAGCAAAATGTGTAACCTGGGAAATTAATTGAATTTGGAAAACCCAGGCTGCCTTTGATCTTGCCCACTGCTAAGTACTCCTGTGTCTGTGTCTCTATTGAACAGCCAGGTGTGTTTTCACATCCAGACAGCTATCTTTCATTACAGTCACAGTGGCAGTGAGGAATTGCTACTCTTCCCCTCCAGGCACTAAGCTGGCTGAGATCACAGTCTTCCAGCTGAGGACTAAATACAGCAAGGAGAGACAGCAGTGAGGTTTTCCTACAGGGGTGCTTACCGCTGCCTGTCTTGCAGTGGTGAGCACATCTTTTTGTGCTGGAAAATATCTGATTGTGCTGCATCTGGAAGAGAGGCCTCAGTATAGACAAATTTAATGCATCCATTCACTAAGGGGTGAGCTGCAAATTAAATACATGTATTAAACTTCTCACTTTAGCCTGTGATTTCACATACAGCTAAGGCAGCAATAGATGCTCAAAATTACATTCCTCACCAACTACTTTGGAGCACACTGATTGATACTTCTGGAATTTATAAGAGGGTTTGTCTCATAAAACCGGAAACAGATGAGACAATACAAACAGATGAGATCAATAGAACAGGAAGGGTGGTCACTGCTTCAATTCAGTTCATTATTCACTGCCTCAGACTTCTCATGTGACCTCATGGTCAAGTGACCACAAGAACTCAAGGTTTGCTTCTCATCTATAAACAGAGAAAAAACAGTTTTCTCATTTGCACGGTGTTGCATGATAAGAATAAATCAGCTGAAGACTGAGACAGTTACATAAGACATATGATTACCTTGGATTAGCCACTTCTATCTCTCTAGAAGCCCATCTTCACTACTCACAATATTCACAGAAATTGCCAGGCTCCTGTTTGAAGTGACAAAACCTCAGATTCCATCATTTACCAAGTAGCAACAGTTGCATCTCCACAGCCTAGAAGATGATGGATGGGAATGGATTTGGCACAGCTGAGACTTTGGCAGATTTGTGTCACAAGATAGTTTAGATATTTTACAGGCTGTCAAAGTAAAATCACAGCAATCTGTTACTGGGAGAGTGGTACTTTGGGGAATGAATAAAGAAGGCTTCAGGAAGACAAGATGGTGAGTCTTCCATAAAGTGAAGTGTTTAATCACTTCTTCTCCTGCAATAGAAGTCAAACATCCTTTTCATGCTGGCTCCAAAATGAGAAGGTACCAATAGCTGCAGACGTAGGGATGGAGCAAGCCATCCCTCACAGAGCTTCTGCTGCTGGACAGCCACTAAAGACAGATCTGCAGGTATCTATGTCTGTGACTCACAGGTCATCCCTACACACCTTATAATGAGCTGTATTCCTATATTCTTGACTATCTCTTCGCTCGCTGAAAATTATTGGAACAGACTATGCAGTTAATAGAGCTACTCTTTTCCTTCTCCTCTTTGTGATGTGATGAAAACTGATCTGTACTCCCTCAAAGACTTTTGGTGATAGGGCATGCTGTTCTTCATTCCAAACTAGCGTAGCACAATCAGTCCAGCACAGAAACAAGCAAATACTGTTCCTGAAGTGATTTTAATTAGGTCATTACAGAACCCTAGACTCCCCATGCCACTAGGAATTATAGACGTGCTCAGGGTAGATCACAGTTCAGGTTCCATCATAGGAGTTTTTCTTCTGCAAGGTACAGAGTTCTGCATCTGTTGCTTTAAAAGCAGTCATCTTTCATCACAAAGAGGTATCTGCACTTCATTTAGGAATGAAACATACACTTGTGTGTGTCT